ACCTTAATGATTAACTAAGACTGCTTACCTCTTTTCCCTTTAAAAATTGTTACAGCTGAGCAGAATTTTAGAGTTGGTCTCAGAACATGATTCCACCTTCTCCCCAGATTGCTGACTTTTCTGAATAAAGTGCCTTTCCTTTTTACTGACTCTTGCCCCTCAATTAATGGCTTTTGTGCAGTGAACAGCCAAACCTGAGTTCAGTAACACTTTTAAAAGCAACGTAGCTATATACTAGAAACAAGTGTAATTTTTTGTTGCTCTTGATGTTGGAAAAACTCAGATTTTAACAGCAAGTGTTCTATTAAGTATTTCCTGTTAACATAGTGAGTGAATCTGATGCTTACAGTTAGAGGAAAAAGAATTGGCTTGAAAAACAAAATAGAATTTCTCTATTGTAATAAATTAGTGAACTATTGGCAATTTCATATGGCTAATCCAATGTAATAAGCAATTACCTTTTAAGTAGAAGTCTGATTTGGCTGAGAAAATAACCAAAAATGCTCTTTGGAAAAAACACCAGTTTTTTGTTTTGTTTTGTGTATTTGTTAGAGCAAGAATGAGTGTGGTCACCAACTCCATCACCAACTGGACACATTTTGTTAAAACCCAAGTTGAGAAATTTCAGCTTGCCAAAAAATTATTTCCATAATCTTACTATCATTGAAAATGAAATAAATCAATAAAAAATGGTGTATTGGTATAGACAGGGCAGAAGAACAGTTCAATCACAGTCTTACTCCAATATACTTGTATTTCTATGCTTGTATTCTAAAGTTTTTAGCATATACTTATGAAAAGATGATGAAATTGCAAGATCTTAAACAGCTGTCAAATAATAAAGAAAAAAAGCACTGCTTCATTTCAACAAAACAAATCCAAATGCAGAAAGAATGCACGCAATCTAAGAAGCAAGGCAAATATTGGCTGTGTACGTGCCAGTATTCTTGCCTGGAAAATCCCATGGACAGAGGAGCCTGGTGTCACATTCCAGCAATCACTGTAGCTTCCTTCCAGAGGTCTGAGCAGCCGGTGTAAGGAACGGTGAAATGCAGGGAACTTCCTAGGCCCAAACCAAACATCAGCTGGAGAATCATCCAGAAGATCCATCCTAGTAGGGGAGGTGTGGATCCATCCTGTTCACTGTTGGGTACCCAAGTGAAGGTGGCCAGACCAACACCTTCCACCTCTGGAGGTGACAGCGACCACTGGTAACTCCAACTGGGCAAGTACCACCTTCATTCTGTGCTGGATGCTAAGAATTTGCCCTCACAATGACAGTTATATATTGTTACTGGTGGAATAAATGGGGAGAACTTATATTCAAAGATTCAGTGGTTTTTCTAAAAATTAACAGCTAGTCAGTTTTTGGATTTAGGATTGATGTCACTGATATCTGACTTCAAAAGTCAGGAGAAATTTATACGCACAAATGTACACACACACACACACACACACACACACACATAAACTATTCATATTATTCTACCTTAACCTTCAGGTTATCCAAATCAGTAAGACATTTATTACTGGTAAAGTTGTTACTGATCCAGGTTCTTGTACTCTTCAACCAATACAGATGGAGAACAGGCCAGATGAAGAATGCAGGCAAGGCTTTACTGGGACGTGAGGAAACAAGGAGCAGTGTCCCTCGCTCAGCCCTGGAGCCACGGCGGGAGCGGGGAGGGCCGAGCCTGGTCCCTTAAACGGGGTGAAAGTTGCGGTGGATCCACGGGTTGGGCTGGAGCAGTGGCTGAGGTGGTCTGCTCACCCCTTTGGTGGTACCCTGTGTGAGGACCCTGTCTGAGGAGAACCCCACTTTTACTCCCCAAATCTCAGAAGCACCAGTTAGGTTTTTGGTCTTTCTGTATCATATTGTTCATAATTTGCTTCAACTGTGCATGCAGTTATTTTTAGTCCCTCATAATTTTATTTGCATTCTGTTGCTCAAGTAAGTGTTTACCTAGGTGCAAGCAAAGGGTCCCAGATCCCAGGTCCCAGCTTATCTCAATATTATACCTCCCAACTCATTTAAAAACATTGGAATTTAGTAACTTTTTATTCAGAATGCATACTGTCCTTGTAAAATTGCTTTCTAGATTTCATTCATTTCAGCATTTTCCAATATTTTCTTTATCATGGAGTCAACCCATGATGATATACAAAAGAATTTCACTAAATCTATTATTTGGATGATTTGGGGCAAATTATTTTAAGCTCCTGGATATTTTTGAGGTTGTGACTTTGAATATCCCCAAGTTACCTTTCAGATCTAAAAGTTTATTAAGTCTAAATTATTAAAATTCATCATATATGCAATAAAAGATAGAAGTATGACATATTAACTAATTAAAAAATTATTTCAATTAATACTACCAAACAGAAGATATGAAAACAAACACACTCTGTAAAGTAAGGCAAAATATTCAAGCCTTCTTGCTGTACATGTTTTCACCAAAAACAAAACCAAAAAAGTCACTTAATCATCTACTAGAAAATTCTTTTCCATGGCTCTTGCCCCTATTTTAGGAAACTAAGGCATTATTTAGGATAGTACTAACAATCTCCAAATTATCATGACAGTGCAATAAAACTGCTTCTATAAGAAAACAATGTATATATCAGTGGATGGCAAGGGATCACAACACAGTGAAAGCCACTCTCATGCCATCCTGTGGCTCTGGCCTCAACTGCCATGCCTTGGCAGGTTCTGCATTCACATGTGGATGAGCCGTGGAAAAGGGAAGCCTGGGCAGCGGCCCCAGAGAGGGGCTATGGCCATTCCCATTGAGTCTGTGCCCTTGCTTCCTCTCTAGCCCTGGATATCTTCAGTTCAGTTCAGTCGCTCAGTCATGTCTGACTCTTTCGACCCATGGACTGCAGCACATCAGGCTTCCCTGTCCATCACCAACTCTTAGAACCTGCTCAAACTCATGTCCATTGAGTGAGTGATGCCATCCAACCATTTCATACTCTGTCGTCCCTTCTTCTCCACCTTCAATCTTTCCCAGCATCAGCGTCTTTTCCAATGAGTCAGTTCTTCACATCAGGTGGCCAAAGTATTGGAGTTCCAGCTTCAGCATCAGTCCTTCCAATAAATATTCAGGGCTGATCTCCTTTAGAATTGACTGATTTGATTTCCTTGCCATCCAAGGGACTCATAAGAGTCTTCTCCAACACAACAGTTCAAAAGCATCAATTTTTCAGTATTCAACTTTCTTTACAGTCCAATTCTCACATCCATACATGACTGCTGGAAAAACCATAGCTTTGACTAGATGGACCTTTGTTGGCAAATAACATCTCTGCTTTTTAATATGCTGTCTAAGTTTGTCATAGCTTTTCTTCCAAGGAGCAAGCATCTTTTAATTTCATGGCTGCAGTCACCATCTGCAGTGATATTGGAGCGATATTGCAGTGATATTGGAGAAAAATTAAGTCAGCCACTGTTTCCATTGTTTCCCCATCTATTTGCCATGAAGTGATGGGACAGGATGCCATAGTCTTCATTTATTGAATGTTAAGTTTTAAAACAGCTTTTTTGCTCTCCTCTTTCACTTCTATCAAGAGGTTCTTTAGTTCCTCTCACTTTCTGCCATAAGCATGGTGTTATCTGCATATCGGAGGTTATTGATATTTCTCCCCACAATCTTGATTCTAGCTTGTGCTTCATCCAACCCAGCATTTCTCATGATGTGCTCTGCATTTAAGTTAAATAAGCAGGGTGACAATACACAGCCTTGAGGTACTCCTTTCTCAATTTGGAACCAGTCCATTGTTCCATGTCTAATTCTGACTGCTGCTTCTCGACCTGCATACATATTTCTCAGGAGGCAGGTAAGGTGGTCTGGTATTCCCATCTCTTGAAGAAGTTTCCACAGTTTGTTGTAATGCACACAGTCAAAGGTTTTGGCATAGTCAGTAAAGCAGAAGTATCTTCGCATTGTTTTAAATTGTATTGTCATGTTTATATGTGGGAGTGAAATTTCTCCCCAATTTATTGACTCCTCCTTTCTCAATCCACTTTTCCTTCCTGTGGGTTTTTTCCCCCTCCCTGGGAGCTAAGGTGCAGATATAGTAAGAATAGTTACTTTTCCCTATGAAACATTTTCTTTTAGTCTGTGGCTCAACTGTAGACATTATGTACAGTCCTTTTCACTCCACAAATGTTTTGAATTATTAAGAATTTTAATTTTTAAAAAATCACGGAGACATTCAAAATTCTTAGAGATTGAGAATCTCCATCCTTCCCTGATCTTTGCTTAGGGTGACCCTGGCCCTTTATCCTCCCTATGGTCTGCCTATTACTTTCATAGCAGCATTTCTCCATATTCATTGACAGGCAATTCCAGACCAGTATTTGTTTTACAAAAGTTTTTTTAAAAAAAAAAGAAAAATAAGAAATGCTTGGTCATAAGCAGATTCAGGAAATCCTGACAATTTGCCTCCTTGATCAAGTTTTATCAATTTCTAAAATCTTCCTTTTTCCCACATACTTGCCAACATTTCACATTGCACACTTGCTTTTTGGCCTAATGCTAGCCTGGAGCCAGTGGGGTTGAGATTTTTTTTTCAGATGCATTCTAGTCTTGGGGTTCCTCTCCAACAGGCTTGTTCACAAGTTCTGACTTTTATATAGCAGTATTTGTCTTTTTATAAATCATGCGTAGTTTCCTTCCATACGGGATACCAATATCTTATGTGGGGTGTACATGTTTATCTCCCAGTCAGCTGTTTGTTATATTTCACCTTTTTTCCTGCAAGACATGAGTTGTTAAAGCAGTGCAACGTATGGATTCTTTCTTTACAGTTGGCAGTGTTTAGTTTTGGTTTTACGGCTGTAAGACCATCCCTAAACAAGATCTTTTAAAACGGTAGTCTCTGAAGGGCTTTGGCCCCAAAACGCCCCCCCAGGGGGCATTCGGGGTTTCATCTATTGCCTTCAAAGTGCAAAATCCCACTTAAAATGCCTTTAAGCACCATGACTGGAAAAATCTGATCTAATAAAAGTTATCCTCTGCTTCAAAACGGGTGAACTGAAACCCAGGAGCCAGGCTCACAACCTGCGCTTGGTTCTTCAAAGCACTCACAAATCTCACCGCAGAGCGTCTTAAACGGTGTTTAAGAAATCTAGGTCCCTCCACAGACGCTGCGGGAGGGCTGTGCGGCGCCGAGAACCGCTGCGCCTCCCCGGGGCGGGGTGAGGGGTTGGGGAGGCGGCAGCACTGCGCTCCGGGCTCCAGGCCGCGCGCGACGAGACTCACCATAATTGGGACTGCCGGCGCCGAGCGCCGAAAACCCGCGCAGGCGCGGAAGGCCGCGGCAGCTCGGCGGCGGCACCGCGCGGCGAAAGCGGAAGCAGACGGCGTGATTCAATTGTCTTATACTGTGGCACTTCCACGTCCTCTCCCACATGGTCTAGCGGTTAGGATTCCTGGTTTTCACCCAGGCGGCCCGGGTTCGACTCCCGGTGTGGGAAGGAAAGACTCTTTTAGAAGCCTGGTTAAGAAATGCACCGTCAAGTAAACTGGGATCTTAATTAGCAAGAAGACTCGATATAATTGAAGAAAGGTGCGATTCCCTGAAGGGGAGTGGTGAGCTTGAAAATGCACCTTGTAATTCGTAATACAGGAAATCCTGCTTCTGTAAGCAGAATCGTTGTTTTTGCCCATGATATAATTTATTTAAAATATATTTATTGGTCAAACTCTATTAAAAAAAAGAATTCTCTTATTTTCCTCCCAGCATTATTATGACATTATATAGCTTATAATTGATATTATAATGCTGTGTAAGTTTAAGGTGTACAACATGATGTTTTGATACACATAATTGTGAAATGATTATCACAATAGGGTTAATTAACACCTCGATCACGTCACTTAATTATATTATCAGCATATGTTTTACACAGGGAATTCATTGCTCTCTTCTCTCACTAAGTGTTTCTGTCAGGAGGATAGAGAGCTGGCCAGGAGGAGATGAGAAAAGACCCAGGAAAACTGATGTTTGATGACCGAGTTGGGAGGGAAGCAAGAATCTTCCTGAATCAGAAATCTCTATGGCCTGAGAGTCTCCAAATAGAAATACTGCTTTAGCAGAGGCTTGCACAGGGATGCAGACAGCAAGAGAAGATCCTTTCACCTGACCAGCTTCCACAGCACATGACATGGGTTAATGAGGCATGAAATCAGCTTCCGGATCGAATCACACATGGTTAGGTTGAGGTCAGGGCTCCTTGCAAATTCAATTTTTCAAAAGTGGAAAATGCCTTGAAATCTTCTAAGCTTCTAGGCCATTTCCAGAATGAAAATAAAGTCTTTATTTCTATGCATATGAAACTGAACAGGACCCTGTGGGGCCCTCCCAGGTACAAAATGCTTTTCCTTTTTGGCTTCTTACTTGCAGGATAAAGGATGCAACCTCCTAGACCCTCCAGAATACCAAAGAGCAGATTCAAACATTACTAGCCAGGGCAGTAAGGGAAAGCAGAAGTGTGCGCCTTTTGCACAGGTCAAATAGATGAATTAGTAATTAGATATGCCTGAGTGCTAAGTCACTTCAGTCAAGTCCTTTTGTTTGGGACCCTACACACTGTAGCCCACCAGGGCCCTCTCTCCAGGGGGATTCTCCAGGCAAGAACACTGGAGTGGTTTGGCATGCCATCCTCCAAGGGATCTTCCCAACCCAAGGGCTGAACCCAGGTCTCCCACATTGTGGGCAGATTCTTTACCATCTGAGCTACCAGGGAAGCCCAAGGATACTGCAGTGGGTAGCCCATCCTTTCTCCAGTGGCTCTTCCCAACCCTGGGATCGAACTGGGGTCTCCTGCATTGCAGGTGGATTCTTTACCAGCTGAGCTACCTGGAAAGCCCCAATAATTAGATATGTCAGTACAGCTTCTGCATCATGCAAATCTTTGTTGGTGACACTAATCTCTAATGTTCTCTAAGATGCAGCCTCGCTTTTGGTTTACTATCTTCTTAAGAAGGGGAACTTCCAGAGGCTACCGTTTTGTCTTTTCTGATCGTAGTAGCCCACACTCCAAAATTCAAGGGGCAATAGGATAATGTCAGTTGTCAAGTAGGAGATTTGACATATACATGACAGGATCCGGTACTTTCACAGATCCACTGGAACCACTTGGAAATAAACTTAGGCCACAACTTCATTTATTTCAAGCTCCAGTGAACAACACAAAAGTACTGGAGGAGCAGGAAGAACAAAAAACAACATTAATTCTAATAATTCTGAGATGCCTAACCATAGGAAGAGAAGAAAGTCAAACCAAAGCCAGTGTAAGTTAACAGAACAAATGGCTATAGTTCCTCTATAGGGTTGGGGATGTGTTTACAGTCTGTTCTTGTGACAGTGTTGCAAGGTCCTTCCTCTGGTGCATCCAGTCTATCCATGGTTCAGTGGGAAGAGTCTGGAACTGACTTGGCTCTTGGTACTGGGCCAGAGGCAATATAGTCCATTGCAGTGACTCAAGCAAAGTTTCCAGTCGCCAAGCCTAGAGCTTTTTAGCTGTACATATCAAATAATACTTCAGTAGATAGCCCATTTATTTCATTCCCAGGACACCACTGCCAGACTCCTCTTGTTCCAGCACTGATTCAGTAGCTGAGCTCACCTTTTCCTGGCAGGTTTGCTCCTGTACTCTTGCCCTCTGAGATTCCATAACTCCCGTTTAATCAGGAGCCCACATGCCTTTTCTCTGGGGCCCTGGTCTGTGCAAGACCTACCAAAGTGTTTTCAAGCAGCAATGCTCTCTTCATCAGTGCATTTCACAATCCCTTATGGAGGAAATATTGTCTGGACCTCTTTGAGGGGCACAGTGGATGGACAGTTGTGTTCACATTTGATAAATCCTCAGGCCAAACTATAAGAAGGGAACACAGCCCCACCCATCAACATAAAATAAAGACTTACTGAGTATGGCCCCAACCATCAGAACAAGACCCAGATTCCTCCACAGCCAGTCCCTCCCATCAGAAATCTTCCACAAGCCTCTTAACTTTATCCATTAGAGGGCAGAGAGAATGGAAACCACATTTACAAAAAACTAACCAAACTGATCACCTGGATCACAGTCTTGTCTAACTCAATGAAACTATGAGCTATGCCATGTACAGCTACCCAAGATGGACAGGTCATTGTGAAGAGTTCTGACAAAATGTGGTCCACGGGAGAAGGGAATGGCAAACCACTTCAGTATTCTTGCCTTGAGAACCTCATGAACAGTATGAAAAGGCAAAAAGATAGGACACTGAAAGATGAAATCCCCAGGTTGGTAGGTACCCAATATGTTAATGGAGAAGAGTGGAGAAGTAACTCCAGAGAGAATGAAGAGATGGAGCCAAAGTGAAAACAACACCCAGTTGTGGATGTCCCTGGTGATGGAAGTAAAGTCTGATGCTGCAAAGAACAATATTGCATAGGAACCTGGAATGTTAGGTCCATGAATCAAGGTAAGTTGGAAGTGGCCAAACAGGAGACGGCAAGGGTGAGCATCGACATTTTAGGAATCAGAGAACTTAAATGGACTGGAATGGGTGAATTTAACTAGATGACCATTATATCTACTACTGTGGGCAAGAATTCCTTAGAAGAAATGGAGTAGCCCTGACAGTCAACAAAAGAATCCAAAATGCAGTACTTGGGTGCAATCTCAAAAACAACACAATGATCTCTGTTCATTTCCAAGCAAACCATTCAATATCATGTAATCCAAGTCTATGCCATAACCACTAATGCCAAAGAAGTTGAAGTTGAATGGTTTTATTAAAACCTACAAGACCTCCAAGAACTAATACCAAAAAAAAGATGTCCTTTTCATCATAGGGGACTGGAATGAAAAAAGTAGGAAGTCAAGAGATACCTGGAATAACAGGCAAGCTTGGCCTTGGAGTACAAAATGAAGCAGGGAAAAGGCTAACAGTTTTGCCAAGAGAACATACTGGTCATAGCAAACACCCTCTTCCAACAACACAAAAGATGACTCTTTGCATGGACATCACCAGGTGATCAATACTGAAATCAAATTGATTATATTATTTGCCACTGAAGATGGGGAAGCTCTATACAACCAGCAAAAACAAAACCAGAAGCTGACTGTGGCTCAGATCCTGAACTCCTTATTGCAAAATTCAGACTTAAATTGAAGAAAGTAGAGAAAACCACTAGACCATTCAGATATCACCTAAATCAAATCCCTTATATAGTGGAAGTGACAAATAGATTCAAGGGGTTAGATCTCATAGATAGAGTGCCTGAAGAACTATGGACAGAGGTTTGTGACATTGTACAGTGAGCAGTAATCAAAACCATCCCAAGAAGAAGAAGAAATGCAAAAAGGCAAAATGGTTGTCTGAGGAGGCCTTACAAATAGCTGAGAAAAGAAAAGAAATGAAAAGCAAAGGAGAAAAGGAAAGATACATCCATCTGAAAGCAGAGTTCCAAAAATATCAAGGAGAGAGAAGAAGCCTTCCTAAGTGATCAATGAAAAGAAATAGAGGAAAACAGAAGAATGGGAAAGACTAGAGATCTCTTCAAGAAAATTAGAGATACCAAGGGAACATTACATACAAAGATGGGCACTATAAAGAACATTTGAAATCATATAGGCCTAACAGAAGCATAAGATATTAAGAAGAGGTGGCAAGAATACACAGGATAACTATACAAAGAAGTTCTTAATGACCCAGATAGCCACAATGGTGTGATTACTCACCTTGAGCCAGAGACCCTAGAGTGTAAAGTCAAGCGGGCCTTACGAAGCATCACTGCGAACAAAATTAGTGCAGGTGATGGAATACCAGCTGAGCTATTTCAAATCCTAAAAGATGATGCTGTTAAAGTGCTGCCCTCAATATGTCAGCAAATTTGGAAAACTGAACCACAGGACTGGAGAAAGGTCAGTTTTCAATCCCAAAGAATGTTCAAACTAGTGCGCAATTGCACTCATCTCACATGCTAGCAAAGTAATGCTCAAAATTCTCCAAGCTAGGCTTCAACAGTATGTGAACCAAGAACTTCCAGATGTTCAAACTGGATACAGAAAAGGCAGAGGAACCAGAGACCAAATTGCCAACATCTGTTGGATCATAGAAAAAGCAAGAGAATTTCAGAAGAACGTCTACTTCTTTTTCTGTGAATATGCTAAAGCCTTTGACTGTTTCAGTTCAGCTCAGTTCAATCGCTCAGGTGTGTTCAACTCTTTGGGACCCCATGGACTGCAGCACACCAGGCTTCCCTGTCCATTAGC